CCTGTAGTCCCAGCTACTCGGGAGGCTGAGGCAGGAGAATGGCATGAACCCAGGAGGTGGAGCTTGCAGTGAGCCGAGATCACACCACTGCACTCCAGCCTGGGCAACAGAGCAAGACTTTGTCAAAAAATAAAAATAAAAAAAAAAGAAAGAAAATATCCAGACCTGTCTCAACATATAAATACACAAGACCAGTTTGTGATATTGGGCCCATCATGGGTACTGTGTCCTAATATTATTTGGCTATGTCAAAATTCTCATTAAAACTATGAATGATGTGGCTTAAAGGGTGTTATGTATAAAACATTTAAGTAAAGAAAGCAGAAGAGAATAAGATACAATAGTGCTAAGTATTCCTGAAAACAAATGGAAAGAAAAAGTCATTTCTGGGAGTCAATACTGTACATTACGTGCATATTGTGTGTATACACATACACACACATATGAAACATGTACACATATATATGTGTATATAAATGAAAAATGCTTGTATAATTCTGTCTGTATTATTTGACTTCTTGATGAGATTTAGGGAGGCTACTGAAAATTTAGGAAATAATTATTCTATTATTTTTTAAAAGGTTGGTTGTATTATGTAAATATATATAAAGTCTTAATGAAATGAGTCCTCTTGCTCACCTGTGAACTCTTTTTTGATGATCAGATACATGAGTATCTTTTTAAACACTGTTGACTTGAAAGTGAATGGATTACTTCAGCCAATGATGTCTTCTAACTTACCTGTATGTGCTATTAATCTCAAGCTACATGGTTGTGACAGACTGCTTAGTCTGCAAGTCTCAAAGTGATGATATCAAGTAAGATGCTTTAAACTGCAAATAACAGAAAACCACAATTCAAAATGGCTTAAACATAAGGATATTTTTAATGATGATGATGATAATAGCAAATGATTTACTGAATGGTTTTATATATATGCATGTATATAAAAACAATTTAATAAATGGTTTTATATACATGAATTAACTTCTTTATTTATATATGTATATATATGAAATTTTTAATAAACTTATATATATATGTGTATGTATATATACACGAATTGACTTCTTTATATATAAAACCATGTATTGAATGGTAGGTATTGTTATTCTTCTCATCATAGATGAAGAAAATGAGGCACACACAGAGGAAGTATCTTGTCTTAGGCTCTATACAGGCAGTAAGAGCAGAGCCAGAATTTAGACAAGGTTTTGTCAGCTCTAAAGCCTGAGTACTTAAGTACTGTACCCTACTGCTTCTTACATGACCAGAAATCCATAGGTTAGGTGGGCTGTAGATTCATCTCTCTGCTTTACCTTTTCTAATGTTGTCTTTACCCTAAGGCTTATTTCCCATGTGACTGCAAGATTGCCAGTGCACCGGTTAAATGTGTCTTTGTTTATATCCAGATAGAGAGGAGAAGACAGAGAGGAAGGCATTTTCCCTTAGATATGAAAATAAGACCTTCGTGTTCATCTGGTTATGCCAACTTTGGTAATATGCCTATCTCTGGACAAATAACTATCACCAGGGACACGTCAAGATCCCATTTGGAAGTACAGATGGGATGGATTCCTGAATAAAAGCGGAATTTTGTTTTGAAGAAAAAAGGGGCTGCCTCAGTTAAATTAATATATTGAGGCTTTTCTGAATATCACATCAGTTTATAGAACAATTTGTTTTTTTCTTTTGCATACTTTATTACTTTATATTGGGAGAAAAAGATCTATAGTACCTAATTAATTCATTCAACAAATATTTCCTTTTTCTTTTCTATATTCTAGGGCATTCCTGGGATCCGTGGAAAGAAGGGTTTTAAGGGGAGACAGGTATCTTCATTTGTGTTTTTGAGGTTTATGTTAGAGCAATATAACCTGGTTATGTGTTCTTATCTATGAAAATATGAAGACACTTTTTACTGTTTGTTGTTTATAATCGTTCCATTTTAATTTTTGCCTCTTGAATAGTGTATCAAATAATACCTGAGAATATAAAGAAAAATTTAGATTAAAAAATAACTCAACTTTGAACACTTCTAACCCTTTCACCATACCAGTGGGAAAACACTTACCTCTATGGTAAGGAGCTAAAATGCCACAGAAAATACGTGAACAACTTAAAACACAAATGGTAGTACTATTCAACCAATTCTACGTGACCAGATGTTGTAGAGGTTCAACCTCATATTCTAGAGATTTTTAAAATGCGTGCTTCAGCTGTTAATTCAGAGATTAGTTTGCTACAACTTCTTGTATTTTCAGGTTAAAAAAATCCAGGTAAGTGAATTTTACTAGGTAATATAATAATTTCAGAGATGGCAGGGAATTGTGACATCATCCAGTACCCCATTGCTTAACAAATGAGAAAAATGTGGTCCAGAAAGGCATCCTGAGGTTCTCCTTGTTAATCTACTATAGTCCATGAAGATAAAAAGTGAGATTTTTCATAACAGCTTTTCTAAAATTTTATGTGCTTGAATAAAATCTTAATGATAATACTAAAGAACTGCAGCTCTCACCAGAATGTTCAAATCATTTTGAAACATTTATCCTTCAAGCTTTGTAATACTCCTTGAAGGTAAAATAGAGTAAGTATTAATGTCACCATAATATAGGTGAGGAAAATAAAGCTTAGAGATGTTAAAAGGCTTGCTTAGATCAGATAGTTGAAAGTGGTAAAATCAGTAATTGAGCAAAACTCCACAGAATCTAAATCCAGAATCCTTTTCCTTACTGCTTAGATATTTCTGCTTTGTCTTCTACTCACACTGCTTAGAAGAGGCATGAATTGTTTTTTCATGACGTCTGGCCAAATTGAGATACAGTTATTTTAAAGTTTAAAGATTTTAATATATTAAGATAAACTTACCAAACTGTCAAGAAATACAAAATAAGCCAAACGTTTTGTTCCCCTGCAATTA